TCCACTCGCTGTTAACTCTTCTTTATAAAATTTCAAAACAGTGATAGTTTTTCATTTGTGAGGACTGACCCACCTGACCCCAACACAGTAATTATTGGGCTTCACTTACTTCCCTACTCCTTATTCGTTCTCATCTTCATTTATGTTTACGACTGCACTCAACTCCAAGACTTACCTATTCTACTGCAACTTTCCATATGATAACGGAAAACCATATAGTAGCAGTTTAGCGGTAGTAGCAAACTATCTGTAACTTTTTCGTATTCTTGCTATTCTACTGAGGATAGCACAACCTTCTTGAAACATGACGAGTCTCTGCAAACTTGCCGGAACAGCACATTTGGTCTCGTGCGACGAACTGTCTGCAGAAGTGCAAATGAAATGACTTTCCCATTGAGAAAAAACGAGTGCCAAAGAATCTTCTGGATCTCCCACTCTAACTTGGTTGTTCACGCAAGACTATGCCAGAGCTCTAAACAGTGCTGCCTGGAAACCGCTTGACTGGAATGCCGCAGGTAGTCCAATCTACAACTGACATGTCAGAAATATTCTAACTTTTATTTCTTATACATTTTATATGGACTACTTATTGAGTTCATTGTCCTATGAAGATTCACCAGAAGTGTCCCCAACATTCCTAACCGTATTGAGGACTGCATCTCTAAGCCGTTTTCTGGTAAACCTTACAACCTACTCTCTCTGTTCAAACAACTGTTAACAGCTATTACCAATCCTGACTTAGAATCACTGACAGGCCGTGAACAAATAAAAGTGCACGGAACATCACAAACGAGACCGGAGCTATTCAGTGCGAGTCTCGGACTTGAAGAAAGGAAGACACCGAAAACTGGATTGTTTCTCGAGAGACTACTGAAACAGTCGACAGTTTTCCGTATTTTTCAAAGAATTAATTCTGCCTTACGCTCAGAACCGGGGAGATGATCGATTTCCCCAGGTAGACTCATAGCATAATATTTCAGAATAAATCACCCAAAATGGAGGGACTGACGAAATCAAGTAATTTATGGCAGTCTGCAGTTTGGATTTCCTCCAGTGAAATCCTAGCAACTAAATTACCATTGGTGACTGCGGAGAAAAAATCATAAAACGAAATTCGTTAGGGAACAAAATGTGGTTAATTGTTTATTCAACACTACCCGAATAAATGCAAACACCAGATCTGATCCGGAAGCAAACAGGGGTAATTTCTGCCCCGTCTAACTCAATTAATTAGTTTTCTCTAATCAAACATGACAGACTTTACTTGACAATGGTTCATTAAAACCGCACTTTCTGCCGTTCGTTCGTTCATTCATGCGCATGAATGCGCAAACATGACCGCATCAAGGGTTGACTGAATTAAATGCGCACAGTGCAATTCCAACCTAATGAATACTGTTGAGTGGAAACTTCATTGCTAGTGAGTCTTCAAAGAAGTGGTTAACGTGTTTTTGAAAGGTGTCACTGAGAGCAAAAACATTCACGAGTCGTCACCAGTTCAAAGAGGGGAACAAGTTATGTTATTCCTGACATAGGAAGGTTGCATCCAGAGGTCCAGTGTATTCGGGTAAGAGGTCACCCAGATATGCTTTCTGCTTCATCAGCTTTATCTTGCAACATCCATCGCAGCAGAGCTCCCCATTGAGTAGATACGAGTATGCCCATGATTGCATCTATGAAGTAACATAACCTACCTCCATCTCCAGTTTTCTCACCAGTGACAATCCGCTGCATACAGAATATTAATGGGTTATAACTTCATGTCTGTACTATGTTGATGTTTATGTTTGTAGTAGACTGCCGTGGAAATCATCACAATCTGAGGAATAGCGTTGGCGAATTCGTTCAGTCTATATAAATTTTGTTTGATCCGTCAGTAAACCGTTATTTCTCTAAAACCACGATCGTCAGGTGCATTCAACAAAACGTCTGATGTCGAATGAGGTAAATTGCTTTCGGTCAGTAGCAAGAAATGCAAGTTCTGCTCTGTTAGTTAGACAACTGCAATTGTCTTCTTTCATGTCAGTTCAAACAAAAATGCCATAATTATCCAACTCAAAGGTTGTGCACGCTTCCAAACGAATTGAAATTAGGAAAGGTTACAAAAAAGCGCACACGACAGAGAAAGCAGTAAAATGTAAGCTGAGATCATTTGCTGTCTGAGTATACTCACAAGGTCGTCGGAATCTTTCTCTTTTTGTGATTTCGGTAAAGTGTGAATGCAGAGTGTCTCAGTGTATTTGCTCACTAGATACTCTACGCCACCAAGATGTTTTCAGGCTGTGCATTTCCTACGAGAGATATCGGCAAGCCACTGTGACCGAACAATTAGTTTCCGTTAACACATGCTGCACACGGATAAAACTAGTGCCCATGCGGTCGTTACCAATACAACAAATACAAATACAACGGCTTCCTGGACAGCCACTTTAGTCCCACCAAAGAGAATGAAGCTGACTGACAGATATTAGTTTTTCTGTACTTCGAGATTCATCAAAGATTCCAACGACACAAGCAAGTTTTACACAGAATATATCACACGTTTTTGGAAATGGCCTCTCTGGCCATTGAACTCACCGTTTATCTCCACAGAATGTACCTGCATCCATCAGCATACTTCAATTAGTCATCCATTTACATAATTCCGTGGTCTTCTCTTGTAGAAGAAGACACAATCTATTGGCTCACAGCACTTTTTTATTAGCAGTGTTCCCTAATCACAATTCTAAAGTTAATCCTTTCCAACCTACTTACGTTTTACTTTTTTGGATTTTCTTTATCAAATGCATAATGAACGCATAATGAACAACAGAGATTGTTACATTTAGCTTGATGCGACGAAAGAACTGTTTCAATAGTATGCGTGAGCTTTTTTCACTGTTCAACGTTTGGACAAACTCTCCAACTTGGCAACAGTTTCTGCCTTATCACCATTTCGCGTAATTCGTGCTCGCCCGCGCTTTTTTAGTCTGCTGAGTGGTCTCGTTCGTGTTAGTTGGGCACTTAAACACGCTCGATGCTAACACAACAGTCGTTATTGCCGTTTAGGCACTACTTCTTCATTTTCTCCAGTCACTGTGGGCCAAACGATGGGAAATCTCGAAGGCGATTTGACCATTAGCAACCTGCAACTGGGGGTTCAAAGTCACAATGCGACGGACCCAACAGATACTGGTTCCAAAATTCACACAATAAGACCAAGTTCAACTACCAAGAAACTGTTTTGTGGCTCAACAATTGACAAATTTTAGGTCAAATGCTCTGATGCAAAGGCTGAATGAAGGTTATCGTGGTTTCCGTGGAATTGGTTGATTTTTGTGTTGTGGCGTTAAGTTCATCCATTTCGGTAATTTCCGTTACACAGATGTTAACCGCAAAATATTGATGCTTGTCAAATTCCGAGTATTTTGAGTAGTTACGGTATACGTATTCCATATCCGTTGTATCAATTGTTCCCAAGCTGGACGAGCTCGAACGGCGTCAGATACGCCGAGATTCCAGTGCAATGACTTCAAGTATCACTATCCGTCTGGGCTTGGAATAGCTTACTGCGGACTCTATACGGATACTTTCGAAGTCAAAACAGTGCGCAGTGAAACGATAGCCGAACAGATGTACGTCTGGAACTCTGATAACATTGGTAATTGTTCTCATCCTGGACAGATTTCCCTAAAAGCTCTCCATGTGACAACTACTCAGACACGGCCGCGGGGCTCAGCACGACCAGCGTACTCAGGCTATTCTTCACTCCATCATGCAAAAAATCTCTAGAATACAGGTTTTTTTAGCTTGTTTTTACATTAGGTCCCTTTCGAAGATACAGGATCAGTTATTAGGTACAATCTTGCTGGTTCAATTGAATATGTTACCAACTGTTGTACTCTCCTAGAAAATCGATAATGACGAGATGAGTTATTGATGTTTTAGTTCAAGAGATGATGGTGCTTCACAATTTGAATGCGTGTTACCGTTTCTAGCGCATCCGATAAAAATGGAGTCTACGGAGGTTCATGAATCAATGGATAAATTATGAGTGCACTCGAAAGTTAGTTTTGAAGAAAACATTGCACTTCCCGACATAAGACACTTGCCAATTATGCGGCGTCTGAAAAAGGTTTTCTGACAGAACCAGACGTGAAGTCTGGAAACTCTAAAAACGGGTTCATGAACAAAACAGCTGTTTGTTTAATTGCGGAAGTGGCTATGTCATTGGCCACAAAATGCGGCAGACTGAACACGAGAGAACGCAGGATTCTAAGAAACATTAGTATACTGGTAGCTAAAAGTAACTTCGTTGTACGTGTTACCGTGTTTGTCCTGCAGGAAAGAGGTCGATGCAATCAGAATGAGTCACAAGAAGAATAGATGTGGCGAACAAAACTTGCTTTCTGTGGTTGGTCCTCTTGGCTAATAACTCACAACTTTATATGATAGCAATATTCGCGTGCAAAGTACATGTGAAAAACATCGGTACATACATTTTCGAAAAATTTTGGTGACACAGTTTGGTACATACGGTTTAGAGAATGGAAGAAAAAGAATAGGGTTTAGTGGGAGGTGAATTTCTATAGCGTAATCTGACTAGAAACTTCACCGAAGATGCGCTCTATAATGGATAGAACTAAATATTGTCTGTTTGGGGAAAAGCGCGTCTATGTACGGCTCATGTTCAATGATGATTGGGTTACTGAACTAGTTACCAATAGGCTTAGAAATTCTTATTATAAGACATACATAACCACTAATCTGAGTTTAAGTTCCAGTTGCAGCATTACTATCAGGTTCCGTCTGAAGGACGAGTTGATACATTCTACTTATTTCGCGCCCTAGTCACTGAACCATCTTTCCCATCCTAATACACGACGACTCCATCCTTCAAGGACTAGATCTGCTTACTTATGGAAAACAAATTACATAAAAGGAACCTCAAAAAAGGTACCTACTAACAAAGTGCCCCCTGTGCATATAAGAACGATGGCAATTTCACGTAATACCAGTATTCTGCATAGTACCCAGCAAAAAACCACTAGTTTGTGCTGGTCTACTGAAATGATCATTCACACAAATCGTGTGTGTGTGTTGTGCATACATTAAACAGAACACTCAGCGACAAAGTGGCCAAAAAAAGTAAACAAGTTTGGAATGGTTGAAGTTGGATGGTCTGAAACACAGGAAAACAATCTAACCAATCCGAAACAAAACATAGAAAATAACAAAAATATACAGTGGTACAGTTGAGCTGTGTAAGGAGTTAAAATGCGGTAAGTAAAGGAGGGAGTTAACAGGTTCACATAGTGAATGGAAGTGTTACTTAGAGGGTCTTCTTGTCAGTGAGCTCATGGCTATCCGATTCCCCCACAATGTCTGCAGGAATCAAAGTAGCACGGGGTTTGCGCCACTTTATCAAACGCCTTAATAAAATAATATTGAAAAGCAAGAAAACCAGCGACGAGCACCAAACCAAAATCCATACCCAACGAGCCATCAGTTGGGAAGTGGGTGTGCGCATTTCTAGTGTGTAGGCTGAAGCTAACCACAGAGCTTGAGGAGCCAGCCACATCAGCAACATCTCAACCACAGTTGGGATGACCAGGCGGTTGGACGGTAATTTCACTTGGGCCAACGCAATAGGCAACAAGACGAGACTCCAAAGAAAATACTGTGAAGTACACACCTGTATAGGGCGGAAAAACACAGGTTTACATGACGACATGGTAGGAAAACATTAAAATCTACTCTGGCAAAAAACAACCCAGTGATACTACTAATAGTGAGCAAACAGTGGGCCACAGAGGCAGTACCAAAGCAATGAATCAAAACCGACAAGGCAATTCTGATCACCATCGAGAACACATCAGCGTTCAAACACCGATGCTTCGATGCTGTACAACGATAATTTATTCGAAGGCCTTATTGTGAAAAAAGTAGACGGAGAAAGGACTTGCTGCTGGTCTGAAAAGACCATTTCGAGGTGCCTCATTTAGGCAATTTGGATAAAAAGTGACGTCGATCAGCAGCAGTATCTGACAATACCTGCAACAATGCACACAAGGATCACTGTCTGTTTGGGGAAAAGCGCGTCTATGTACGACTCATGTTCAATGATGATTGGGTTACTGAACTAGTTACCAATAGGCTTAGAAATTCTTATTATAAGACATACATAACCACTAATCTGAGTTTAAGTTCCAGTTGCAGCATTACTATCAGGTTCCGTCTGAAGGACGAGTTGATACATTCTACTTATTTCGCGCCCTAGTCACTGAACCATCTTTCCCATCCTAATACACGACGACTCCATCCTTCAAGGACTAGATCTGCTTACTTATGGAAAACAAATTACATAAAAGGAACCTCAAAAAAGGCACCTACTAACAAAGTGCCCCCTGTGCATATAAGAACGATGGCAATTTCACGTAATACCAGTATTCTGCATAGTACCCAGCAAAAAAACACTAGTTTGTGCTGGTCTACTGAAATGATCATTCACACAAATCGTGTGTGTGTGTTGTGCATACATTAAACAGAACACTCAGCGACAAAGTGGCCAAAAAAAGTAAACAAGTTTGGAATGGTTGAAGTTGGATGGTCTGAAACACAGGAAAACAATCTAACCAATCCGAAACAAAACATAGAAAATAACAAAAATATACAGCGGTACAGTTGAGCTGTGTAAGGAGTTAAAATGCGGTAAGTAAAGGAGGGAGTTAACAGGTTCACATAGTGAATGGAAGTGTTACTTAGAGGGTCTTCTTGTCAGTGAGCTCATGGCTATCCGATTCCCCCACAATGTCTGCAGGAATCAAAGTAGCACGGGGTTTGCGCCACTTTATCAAACGCCTTAATAAAATAATATTGAAAAGCAAGAAAACCAGCGACGAGCACCAAACCAAAATCCATACCCAACGAGCCATCAGTTGGGAAGTGGGTGTGCGCATTTCTAGTGTGTAGGCTGAAGCTAACCACAGAGCTTGAGGAGCCAGCCACATCAGCAACATCTCAACTACAGTTGGGATGACCAGGCGGTTGGACGGTAATTTCACTTGGGCCAACGCAATAGGCAACAAGACGAGACTCCAAAGAAAATACTGTGAAGTACACACCTGTATAGGGCGGAAAAACACAGGTTTACATGACGACACTGTAGGAAAACATTAAAATCTACTCTGGCAAAAAACAACCCAGTGATACTACTAATAGTGAGCAAACAGTGGGCCACAGAGGCAGTACCAAAGCAACGAATCAAAACCGACAAGGCAATTCTGATCACCATCGAGAACACATCAGCGTTCAAACACCGATGCTTCGATGCTGTACAACGATAATTTATTCGAAGGCCTTATTGTGAAAAAAGTAGACGGAGAAAGGACTTGCTGCTGGTCTGAAAAGACCATTTCGAGGTGCCTCATTTAGGCAATTTGGATAAAAAGTGACGTCGATCAGCAGCAGTATCTGACAATACCTGCAACAATGCACACAAGGATCACGCGGAGCTCATTCTGGAAGGCGAGTCAGTCAGTAGGTCAGCTGTAAACCGTGTATCAAGGGTACGTTGGTCTTAGTTGTTACAGTTTCGGACACCGGAAAATGGGAGTGGGTAGCTATAGCCAAGCATTAGAGGTAATGGCACGAAAACACTCAGACTTTTCCACACCCCTCTATCAGGTCAAATTTTGACTATCTCTCTGCTTGCGCCACTCTGGGTTAGGCACCAGGAACAGCACTCTTCGACAAATAATGAATCAGCAAGCGCAACACACGACAAGCCCACTGCAGCTTTTGGTGCTGAAAACATATTCTTCGATTGAAGTCACCGTTGCACAACGCAACGGTCAGCATGTCCATCTTCCAGGCTTGAATTCGCTTACACAGCAATGGAATATGGTTCAACGCATAACTGGTAAAGCCAAGAGGGCAGTGTACAACACTTGATTTTAAAAATTCACGGTGAAATTGGTTTCCCCGAAAGGGTCCCAAACAAATGCTTAAAAACGCAGAGTGAAGAATTCCCGCTTGCAGATAAACAAAACACATTAGCTTATCATTCAAAATGAAAAAGAAATTTACAGAATGCATTCAAATGTTTTCACTAACAAGTGCAATATTTCGCAAATCTACCGGTTGTACTCCAGCAACTGAAGCATTTACTGTCAATCTACAGTACTTTCAGTGCTTCATTCAAGTCAGTTATACTAGGAGGGCCATAAGGCGTGTATGAAAAGGTTCCTCTTTTCAGAAGACCAGTAAGGCGAGTGACCACTGCTATGCTGCCACACCTGACCAAGTAACGCCTTGCGTGCGTGCATCAGGTCGCTATCCCAGCTCAGTCAGACGTTTCGATTTGTGGAGGCAGATGCTGCCAGGGTATAACAAAAACTGTTTGACTGAGCCCTTAGTTTGTCTGGAAAGTATAACCTTAGCATGAACGAGTTCCTTGGTTAGATGAAGACATTCGTGATAACTAATTAATAGGTTTAAATGCATCTGATATATCATCCAACAAAATTTTCGATCCAATCATGGAACGCAGAACTCCGTCACGAGGTGAAGCGCCCAAAAACAGTCGCTTTTAGCAGTACGGATATGTTCAGAATATCCAGAAGTTGTAGAGGTCACCCTTTTTTGCTCATTAAACTTCCTCTCCCACCTGTTTGACTACCGAGGAGGAGAAGGTTGGGAGTGCCGCAGGAGTAGAACCCCCGAAACTATGATTTTCATTCAGAGACGACCGAGACTTAATAGAAGTTTAGAGCATGGACAGGTGGAACAAATCTAAATTTGAGGAGTTTGTCCTTCCATCCTAGTCCCTTGAGTTCACAACAGTATTGACAGCATTAAACTGCTTGGGGTAGACCAAAACTGGGTGTACGTTTGATATCCAAAGGAATAGTGTCTACAAAACTTCGCTCGCCTCTTGAAATCGTTTAGACATTTGCACCAAATGTCCAGTAGAGAACTAGGCCGCGAGTGGAGCAGTGAGCTACATACAGCAGAATACTCCGAAGACATTGCCGCTGTAGCTACATGAAGTCCGGTATATTACTGTTACAAGCTATGCCCTACTCAAAGACAATGCTCCGCCCTTGAGGCGGCTTATCTAATAGCGACGATTGCTCGAGGGAATGTCACTTCGCTCTATCAACCCGTTGTATTAGCATAATGATCACAAAACCTGCGCACACCACGAATACGTGAGCTGAGGAAGCCATGCATTATTCTTCATCTAGCTTCACTTCGTTCAGCCCATTCCCCGGAATATCAAGCTAGGAAAAAGTCCCGAGGGTGTTGGTAGATTGCTGTATGGTTACTTGTCCAGTGCTTGGACCAAGTTCTATGGGGATTTCGGGCCACCTGTGGACTTTTCCGGAATTCAGCACCGATTCCCCCAGGCCTTTCTAGCGACGGAACAATGGATCTCGACTTCAAAGTACCTTAGCCCACTCGGTCGTGGCCATCATGATGGACCGCAAACGACGAAGTCCAATGACGGAAGGTCGAGTGTAAATTATCTGTCACAAGAAGTAACAGCGCCATAGAGAACTGACATCATAGGCGGATTCGAGTTTACACATTGGACTACACCACCGACAATCCAGTTACCGTATCCAAATCCATTATCTTTTCAATTAATGTAGACGGTAGGCATGCTCTGCAGACCATCCGGTATTGCAACTTGAGACATTCTGGAAATAAAATTCCCCATGGCTTCTGATTATGAACAATTGTCAACACAGTAATCTAAGAGATAGTATTGCTTGCTTGTGATAAAAAACACTAAAAATACTAATGAATTTAGAATATCAACGGAAATACCTGCTCCACTCAAAGTGATCAGCTTCGGGAGGGCGTCGTTCACCAAGAGTTGATCATTCCAGAGAAGGGGGTAATGCAGTTATCAAAGATTGCTGACAAAAGAGCTCACCTTATTAAATGTGACGAACGCGTAGGTAACCGCAAACCAACATAAACCAAGCTGACCAAATAGTTTGAACGACAGTCCAGGGATGAGCACAAGGGACTGCAGCGTCGCAATTGCGTTGAACACGCGTTTGACCACGTCTGCATTTAATGCGCACTGCGTGATGATCCAGGTGGTCAGACTATCTTGTACAGTCGGTTCGTGCATCCCCATCAGAGCTGACAGTTGTCGAAAGAGGATTTCTCGTGTCGTGCCGTAATTTAGAAGCCCTGTGACAGTTTTCATATCTAGCATTTTCCATTGCAGACCAGACAACAGATAGAACGGATAAAAATGAGGTGCGAAATTGTGCTTCATATCAACACGCGTAAAGTGGTACAGATAGGCCTGATGGAGAAACACCATGCCACCAAAGTACACATAGCCGATCGTTGTGAGCAGACCAAGACTGAGCAGGGTGCCGAGTGCAAATGCGAAATGGGCTCGTGATGGAATCAGGAGACGCAAACGGGAGTAAGTTGAACCGGAAGGTTTGCAAGACCATTGAGATAACCACAAATAAATTGCCGGGGAGTAAATGACTGGATAAAGTTTGAGATGTATGCAGATTCCAAAAAAGAGGCCCGCCAGAAACAGACGACGTCTCAGGATGAGAGCAAGGCAAGCAAGTATGCACACCCCAAGAACAGCTTCTGCGTTCCCACGGACTGACACCACCGCCGTAACCGGATTGAAAAGCCATCCGAAAGAGACCAACAAAACCGCCAGCTGGCTGAGTTTGGCCGAAGGGAAGGATATATTTTCTGAAGATTCATGTACAGTCTCGGGCTGTATTAGGGAAAAGTGGATGGGCTCAAATAAATAGGTGTAATTGTGACGTGTGAGTGAAAACATGCAAACTGAATTTGGAATTGCTAATGAGAACTCTCGAACGAATGTAGCGGTCGGTTACTAAAACTTGGGAGTTTTTCCCTACTCAATTCGAAAACGATACTGTTCAGGAAACTTGCGTCTACTATGTGTAAGACCAGCCCCTCCCCCAGAAAAAATACGCTGAATCGTAATTTTTACGAGTAGCTTGCGGTTAATCCGCTGTTATTAATAACAGATATCCTCAATTTAGATTACGTTGAGCTGTCAAGAAGCAAAGAAACGTCATTAAAGGTCATTCCCGAATAACAACTACACGTTCGAGTATCAATGCGCCGTGGTTCATCTATGAAGAAACTGGATACCTATGAACACAAAAAAAAACTCCAATAAACGTCGTGTCAACCAACAGAAAGGAGAGCATGGACAATTAGTTTAATAGCGCACAAAGTGTAGGAATGGAAGCCAAATGCATGCATCAAGTCGACCAAATAATTGGCAAGGAGACAATTTGTGCCTTCGACTCAAAACGGATCCAAGGGAAAAATAATGCCGCAAACCCAACCAAACTGCTGACGATCGATTACCCGACATCAGAATATCTGCAGTACATAGGTATCCTCAGAAATCAGGGGAATAATCTTCAAACAACCATAAGACAAGAATATCAGGGATGTGGCACTTTCAGTTATAAGGGTATGGTGTGGTACATCATGGTAGTATGAGCAGTAGCTACGATAGATCTCTACTATGTCTGATCCCGAGTTATAGACCAAGGTCTTCCCAGACTTCCGGTTGAAACAGGTCAGACCAACTTGATTCCAGATCCTCAGATGTAATGTTGGCATTCTAAACTCGAGTAACTGAACTTGAAATAGTTTCAGTGGGGTCCCAGTGTATATGCATTTCAGGGAATACTTGGATCTTAAATCAGTAACAATGCTATCCTAAGGGATAGATTTGAAATCTGAACAATCCCCAAAATGTAATGACACTAACGAAGGGTAGACTTGAGGGACATATCCGCGCAACTCACCATGGCCTGGATAATAATTATGTTGTATTGTAACCAGGCGCACATCAGGTCAGCTATGATGAAGATAAGTTTCCCCCAAAGCCTTGACAGTGCATCTTCTACGCTTGTCAGTCCGTGAGTGCTTGTATGCATAGGAGTGCGCTGCGTATTCAAAGATGGATCGAACAAGGTCTTCGGACTAACTGATGGAGACTGGCGAACCAGACGGTTGCGAAATGGCCAATGACCTGGAGCGATCAAAGCTGCTATGAGGGGAGAGTAACGATAGGTCGGTCTAGCATTGTAAATATCTTCTCCGGAAACGAGGGCTCGTGCAGCATCAGTGAAGACGTCGTAGTCCACGTCAGTGAAACGCAGCTGCCCATCGGGCCAACGCGTAGTATCCTGCCACACGGAGAATAGTAGCAATGCAATACGAAAAAAGAAGGCGATGGATAATGAGACCCTAAGATTGAGATAGCGGGGTGAAGGCAATGTTGAATCGTGTGGAGGTTGCTGGCGAGAAGTAAATCCATCCCCGGAAGACGGACGAGAGGATTTTTTCAGAGTTGTAGAACGAGAACTCACATGCCCCTCTGTAGAACGCAATCTTACGGAAGGTGATAGGTCATCTGCTTCTTTCGGATCTTCATGGTCCACGTTGATCACATCAAAATCTCCATTACCAGTAGGTCCATCCGTACTTGTGTTGTTTGCAGTCAAACTCATTTCTGAGAACAATGGTTTGCATAAATATGAGCTGAAAAAGAACATCTCGCGTTAAGAACGGGAGACTAAAAATATTTCTGTGAAGGCTAGAAGGTGAAACTATTGAAGTGGTCCTAATGGGAAACTATTTGACAAGGGATGATAACGAACGATTTCAATTCACAATGGTCCAGAGCAACCAAGAAAATCAATATCTTTCTCTGATCATTTTTCTATGAGTACCAGCGTTTAAGCGATGATGAGACAAACTGATCAGGTTTGACCAATCATCTGTATGGTTCCGGAGATAGACAGACACAGTCCATCGACTGCATCAGACAACAGGACCTACAGATAGATTATGCGGTCTAAGTACACGGAATAGAACAGAATAGAATAGAATGGAACACACGTAAGGGAATTCATGTTCCTACTCATCCATGTTCTTCTTAGTTGATTTCCGACTTTCCTGCACAATGCACATGGCAGCGTACCTCTTCTATTCGCTTTTCTAACTGGAGCGTGGACACTTTACGGTAGCCAATCTAAGCCTCACAAGGAAATGACCGGAAACCAGACACGTCGGGGTGACGTGTTGAGCATGTGACTTACTCAGGCATGTCGACTCCAAAACAAAATCGCCCTCGAAAAGGTACCACAAAGAAGAAACCTAGAAAATCTGAAGACTGGATTAACGGAGCCATAGAAGCAACGTCAATAGGGCAAGCAACGGGCTTGACAGATTTCAAGAACACGACTGTGTCGGTCAGAAGAGATCCTATTGCCAGGTGCTAATGTTTACCCTGGCTTCAACGTTAGCGATTCGAAAAGCTATTATGTGCAGTTCACTTGCTGCAGTAACCTCCTCAAATTGAGTTGCACAGTTCCTCGCTGTTGTCATGCTAGTATCTGTGCTTTGGAAACCCACGCTTTTCCATATTCCAACGGACAACCAAACCGCGCAATATTTGACCTGCTCCAATGTTGGTAATTAATCGATCAAATGACCAATATGTAACTGGAATAATTCTTCGTGTCGGCTATCAAATGGGACGGCTCGGCGTTACAATCACGTGATCCTTGTAGTACGTAAATTAACTGCTGCGACCAAAACTACACCTGACCAACGCAGGATAAAGTGAAACTAAAAATGCTCACGGCCTTGAAAGTACTGAAAAATTCTCGGGGTTTGAACTTAGAGTTTAGAGCAGCCTAAAAGGCCTAAAAAGCTATTTAACCCTTGTTGACGCAGTGGTGCGCATCTCACAAGTCTCCAGTGATTGGACTCGTGGTCGTAAACATCAGTTCATTCACGGCTGGCTGAGCAAAAGTATGAATAAGTTGAAAATGGGTTAGGGTGGACCTCCACTTCAGTCCCGATTCACATCACATGGTCCAGTGGCAGATTCTTCAGGTGATAAGTTCATGCGGCTTGTGGACTACCTTCCTTACTTAACAGACTGCCAAGTTCGGTTGTGTTTGGTATAGTGTCCAGTTATCAACCTGGGTTTCTTAGGTTCGAGAAGCACATTGCCGTTGATTTCCAATAAGGATAAAGTGGGAATGCCTCGCGACCTTTGAGCATGCACTGGTTTACCTTAAGGATGAAATATCGATCGCCAACGAAAATTGACCGCATAAAACATACCAGACTAGATGGAACAGCACGTTGTGGTGCGCGACTCCAGTGTAGGGCCTCAGCACACTTTTCCGTCCACCAAGGAATAACAAAAGGCATCATAGCTCGAGACAAAGGAAGCCGTATTTGTAGTCACAGAATTTTCGACAAGTTCAAAATATAATCTTCGAAAAACTAGAAGCAGCGACAGAAAACTGCTCCATTCCGTATCCTGACTAACAAGGACATGCTTTCGTCTGGTCTGTAGCGGGTTCACGACATAACTTTCTCATAGAAGCGATGTTCGCTTCGTTGGAGCGACTCACCTCCAAGCATGGCGCTTCTAGCCGTCTGAGAGGGTAAACTTTCATATAAATAGATCAGTTAGAGCAGTCATTAGCAGTATTTTGAGACGAGGCACACAATTGGGCGATGGCCACTTTGCCACCATTACATATCGTTTCTTACAGCGCAAAGGTCACCTAATCGTAGACACAGAAGTAATCTAACCAACTAATACAAAATGGCCACCACAATGTTCTTCCAACTTGTATGAAAGCGAAATCTCTAAAACAGCTATGAAAAGTGAACGCGGTTCTCGGGTCATATAAGTAGTATATTGCCCGTGGGTTTATGCCGTACCAACCGAATTGGGGCGAGAGAAGGCGTGTGTCCTTCGATGCTTTGACATAGCTGACAGCTCTTAACCCCTAATGGGTGCGCCAGAATCCTGGGAAACTTCTCCAAAAGAATCTTTTAAACAAGTGGATGACACAAGTATCCTCTCACGTGCTGAAATCTTGAACAGCCGGGTCAATTGACAAGCATCCAGTGTGGTGGGCTTTGACACAACCCGGACAAGTGCTCAAATATCAGTTCATTTCTGTTTGGTTACGTAGGTCATTACCGTGAGTTTTGACTGCCTTGTCGGGCACTTTAAGCCTTCATACAACCACTAAAAACTTACCTGTTCAGACGAAACCAAGTCTACCATGCGAAGGACACCAAATTCCCATAAGGTGACAAGTTGGTTAAAGTTGGTGATCAAAATGTCTTCATTGCCTGAAGCAATGAAGCAATTCAGAATTTTCCGCTAGACATCTGTAAGAAAACCGACCGAACGAGAGTTGGGAGATTCAGTTGAGAATGTTCGATATCAACATCTTGGGTGTAAAGTGGGAAAGAAACGTTTCCTCAGTCTTGTTGACCGGAAAATCCATTGAATTAAGGCGAACGAATGTCACATGGTAACGGCGGATAAGAATGAACACCACATTTATGGTTATGTTATGGACTTTTCCGGAGATAAGAAGCTTTGCAGCTCAAGTCCAATCAAACCACCAATGTCGTGTCACCAAGTATGTGTAGCAATATCTGTCATCCACCCAAACGCTTTTTACTGGACCTGTGTTGCAAAAATGCATGAATCCGGACAGTAAGCACTTCATCAGCTAAGAAAAACGGTGAGTAACAAACAGGTTAACTGGGCAATAGCTATCCAGCAAGCCGAAACTTACAGACCACTTCCTGACTTTGAGACGCAAACCTCCCAGATGGAATATATGGGCGCTAATCGATCAAGTAAGCATTGGGGAAAGATCACGAACCGCCGTTCTGTGACGAAAACGGGAGCAGAAAATTCAAAACAAGTTTAGACTCCTATTCCATTGGCGCTACCGGAAAAAGCTCATGTCGAGACTCCCATCAGTCATATATCAGGCGTCACCCCAGGATGTCGTTGGCAGAGTGAGGTGCAGGTAAAAAATGGAACAGCAAACCAACAGGGAAGCACAGTAGGAACAGAACAGGAGTGCTGCCGGAACAAATTAGATTTTCCATTAAAAAAACACGAAATGTCTGCTGATGGAAAGGACAGAAAATTGAAAGGCCTGTACACAAAGTCAAGTTCTCTATAAATTCTGAACAGTGGCGAAGTTGTCCGGGATGATATGGACGGTGCTAGAGGAATGAGGATAGACAGGAAGCGTCACGGAGATCTACAACGAAAAAACGAGTGTTCAGGCGGAACAACAATAAGACAGGGAATTCTCGATATAGTAAGCAAAGCATATGGCAGTAAAGCGTGAGAATAATCACATTGCTATTAGTGGCATTCGCGTCAGTTGCATCTAGGAATCAATGGGCGATAGAGAATTTCTGTCCTGCTGCCTCCAAGAGGTCCCCAAGTGGTAGCACCAAAATTCGATCCTCTGAGTGTGGCGTACTATTGGTGAATAGATCTGAATGGAGAACGAGGCCCGGCTAGAGGACTCCCAGGTTGCTTGAAAATAGACGGGAGCAATTGGAAAGACAGATCTAAACGAATGCACGAATGCGCTCCGATCCAAAACTTGCACCGCAATCCCTAAGCCGATAATTCGTCGATCAGAAGAAGACGTTTTCCAACGGTTGCAAAGTTGACGAACAGACCAGTAAACGGTGTCTTCCCACACACTTTTAGCCGTTGTGAGATTACAGATGTTCTATCAGATCCTGACGACCGTTAGTCGGTATCCGTACACATGTAGGTCGGATATACCACACCGACGACTCAACAGTTACTCACTACTTACGTGGAGGCAACAGGGCGAGAAAATAAGTTATAATTGCCGTCAAAATAGACGACGTAGCTAAGGTGTGTGGGTCACTGGCGTGGTTCTGGTGATTGGGGAGCGGCAGAAACCACCGATAATTAGCCCCTCTGGCGTGCTGGATAATGAAAAGGAAAATACAGCTTCAGCAGGTATATGCGCGGTGACAGAATGAGCTCAAGAAAGCTCGCTGGTCACGGAGCAAAATTACGGACCAGAAGGTCAACGGTTGGAACCCAACCTCAGCATCTCAACTGCTTCTGTCTGTGCTCTGGCAACCTGACGGTATCTTAGCTCTCACACTTACTTCGGGTGGCATGGTGGCTGGGAACCGAAAGGGTGCTAGAACTGAACGATTTTTCAAAGTCAGCCGGGAAATCGACCACTGTTACGTCCAGCTAATCTTAGCGGAAAGGGGCGTGCAAGTCGATTAGGTACATCCTACTTTTTTCCAATGGGAAATTGAATTCTGTGCACTAAAATGAGTGGCTAACCAATAAGTCCAGTCAAAAGATGCTGAAGTTTTGTCCTACTGCCCTGATGGTGAACCCGATTGGTTGCACAGAAAAATATTCGGAATGGTTTGTGCAATCCACGATTGCTATCGCACAGAAATTCCTATTCAAAATAGTCCAGATTGTGTTGCCACTTAATTGCGATAAATGGGTCAACGAAGACGAAGAGAGCTTCGGGAATATACGAGCGAAAACTGCAAATACTTAGTTTACGAACGCCTTGTGGAATTGTGACAAATGACAGCTACAACGTCTGAACCCGGAGTTTGTGTGGCTAAATCCAGACAATCTGTCATTATATTCATGTGACCGGATCTCAGATGCTGCATTGTTACAAACTGAACTGGAAAAGGACAATAAAAATAATGAGTGCGATATGTCGGGAAGTGTTAAGCAAAGAATCATATCGCATAGATGGGAAGCAACAGTGGTAAACGCTCAAGCTTTAGTATGCGACTTGTTTTTCTGTTCAGTCCGTCGAAAAAACATGCAAGTTTGTCATAGTTGATTGAACAAACACTGTGAATGCATGGATTGTGCCATTTACCACGAAACGTGGATGAAGCGCTTCAGCTTAGGGGGTCATCATCATCATCATCGACAAAGTGACATCAGTGTTCAACACCGATGCCTCACTGCTTAGGGGTGAATATACTGTGGTAATCGAACGCTACTTCCTTGTCCCTACAGCTTCAGTCACCTTGATGGAATTAGCCACAGCTTTCAAATGGCTATCCCCGTTATCAGACCGGACTTCACTCACGTCCATTCTTTCCTAGGACAAGCGAACTTATGCACCCCGTTCCACCCCCTACAAAGTCTTGTTAATTCACAAGTTAAAAGAAATTTGACATCTTGAAAAAAATTTCTAATCCACTGCTTGGTTTCGCAGGCCTTCCGACTCTAGAGCTCATTCTGTGTAACTTCACGTGATCAAGTAAAAGATATACATAACTTGCGCGAAGACGGATCAAAGCCATCTTATGGTTTACTAACTTATTCAGATCTGTAGTGTAACAGACCACTTTGCCTTCAAAGACGAACTGGTAATTGGTAAACAATAGCCAACAACAATCCAGACTAATCTAGGAAGTGGGACCAGACTCACGTGCTCGGTGTATCACGGAGGCTTTTCTTGTTGAGAGGAATCCATCTGCGAAAAATCTTGCAGTGATGACCATTGCGCCGTTGTAAACTTAATATGAGGTCGCTTCTGTTTAATCAGCTTAACTGCGTGTTCTGCACTGATTCGATCACGACGCATAAGATAACACGCAAGGAGGAAGGCAGAGCGCGTACGGCCAGCCTTACAATGAACGTAGACCGTCCCATTAGGGTCAGTGCATGAATCGATAAATGTGATACCGGCTTCTACCTACGGGGAAGAGAGAGAAGAAAGCGAGTTAAAGGATAAGGGTATGGCACATCTAGAATATCACAAGCGGATTGACCACTTTCCATTGATCTGCATACAGCCCTGCAACCGAAGTTAATCTATGCCGATGATAGTCACAAAGCACTGCATATCTGTTTCGGTCCTGTGGAGAATTATCAACACTCAGCATCTCATGAATTTTTAGTATTTGGGATAGTAATGTTCAAAGCCCTATCCGGAAGAGTACAGAACACTATTCGAACAACACCAGAACAGAAAACAAGGCTGACTGTTTGACAGAGTATGGGTCAGGTCAAAAGGGGAATTACAACGATGTCACCAGTTCCTAAGACCATCCAACTATTCTGGGCTTAGCATCAAATTATGTCCAAATCGATTTCAAATATTTTCGCCTCTAGAGTCTGTACGAAGTCTGAAAACTGGACAGAAAAATACTCACCTGTTCAACTGTGGGCACACCCACAAAATCCCGCACCGGAAGCGACAAATGTTTGAGTCCACGTGATTCGGCTTCTTCAGATCCAACAACGAACGACTTCACTTCGAAAGGTTCCAGCATGCTCACAATATGCGTGACATTTTCCGTGCGTTCAAGCTCATCCCAAAAAGACCGTAAAGGCAAAGCTCCCAAAATTAGCTTCGGTGTGATCCGTGTATACCAATTATGTCCAGCCAGATACTTTCGAACGAAGCTGTAACCGGTGCTTACGTAGAATACAAATTCTCGCAGAAACATACCACTGTTTGGTTCAGCGAGAAACGGTTGCTCGCCTGCAATTCAAGTTGGGAAAGTCTGTGGTTAACACAGTGAAGAGACTGCAGTCCAACAGTAACGTCACAAAACCTACGCTAATGCAGAGTTCAGGGTTGATTATGAAACGATTATTCAGGGTTGGTTGATCAGCTTTTTAACTAGACTGACAAAATAACAGAGCATCTATTCTTGAAAGATATTATGCAGTGTATCAACCGAATCGGATAAGTGGCTCCTGGATTTCGGAGTTAGTTTAATTGACGGGGTTGGACACCGGTAGTGCCGGTGATACCGCTTCCCGAGTAACGAGAAAACGGCACCAGAAAACCATACAAGGCCACTAACCTGTGGGCTGTCGTGTTAAAAATCGAATACTGTTTTGTTGAGACATACCGTTCTTGAAGTGAAATCAGATATCATTGCCCTGGAATGTCGTTCAGAGAAGACAGAGGGCTGCCTGTGGAAAGCGAAGCTGACGGTATCTCCACATCCAGACTCAGCGTGGAAGTTAAAAACGAAACCGTATAATAAGCAGCTGAATACGTGCAGTGTAGTCTTGTCTTAAAATAACTTTAGGAGAAATACAAGTCTGAAGATCTACCTATGTATTAAGACAGTGGAAGAGGACAGGATGGGTTCATTTATCTGACATGTTAGCTAGAACCCCTTGATTGATTAAAAATATGCGCTTTAGCCAGTAATAGTGAACAATAGGCGACGACGCTCAACGCGTCTGGAGTAATTCCCACTAGTAATAGTTCGTCATGAAAACTGATGAAAGAAACTGGAACAATCACTAGTGAGATACAATCTGCTACAAGAGCCGGCAATGAAAGGAACACTGGACTGCTTGACAAGGGGCAGCCACGGATTGTGGTAGGATAGAACAGGGTCTTTTACTCGTCCAATACCTCCTTCCTCATAATACTTGGCTCCGATTAAGTAACTTTGTGTAGATGAACAACAGTGTCGACATTGATGTTACTATCTACGGCGATGACAATTAAACTGAGTACCTGATGCGGTAAGACAGCTCAACTTAGACCGTGATTATCCGGGGGCTCTAGACACCGACTACGAACGAAATATGGTCTCCGTAGGATGTATTACAGCACAGGTTATAAAGTTCTAGGCTTTGTTCATCCATCAAACGGTTGCGCTTGTGGAATTACTGCAAAGCGATCCCATCCGGTCATTAGTTAGGCTATGGAATTTGTCAGTCCTATGTCACAGAGCTCAAAAATTACAAGCAAACGTTGGTTGAAAAACAAACAAACTGACATTTAGACATGCAACCATGTATGCAGAAGAAAGAAAATGCTGTACAGTATTTTATTATCTCACTACTAACGAAAAAACGAGTAGATCAGAACGGGCGATCAACCCAAGGCTTCCTCTTGACAATTGGCAGCGAGGCCTTCACGGCATGCCTCGACATGTTGCATGAGCAGACGCTTGTGAGAATCGGCGAGAGGTTCACGATCGACAAACAGCTAAAAAAATCAACAATAAACAGTTGTTAGTAAAAGTGTAACTAAATGACCAAGAGTCTTCATGCACACAACAGCTCAACAACGTTGTCATTTGGTGGAAGCAGCGACCACCCAACGGTGAGCGCAACACGATAAGGGACGGAATTCACTCAGAAAGGAATTTTGACTTCTTAATGAAACCTTCTGTTGAACTTTCTGGCGCTGGAGGACTGGACTGAAGGTTTTTTCTGATCAAGACAACGCCCCATCAACCCCATTCGTCTCATTTGTAACCGTTACAGCTGTCCACCATTCCGTTACTTCAGTCTGAGAAAAAAACTCGTGTGGTTGTACAGCAGTTAAGTAAACGTGTTTGCTAAGCTTGATAGCATCAGGGTTTGGACCTATATCAGTGATCAGGATGTCAGTCGCTCGAAATCAACTCTGGCCTCTAGGCCGTCATCCCCCACATCGCGACAGTTTAGCAGTGTTCCCTCCATTCTGCTTAGAGTTGCAGAGGAGTTGTGCACCAAAATGGTGCCACATTTAGCGATTTCTATTAGTGCTCAACGCTGGTGTTTTTGTACACGACGATTGCCTATACAGCAACGCTACAGTGTTTGAACACCTCGTGGACGCACACGAGTTATCCCTTTGAACATAGTGACATGTTCACTATGGAGGTTTGCGATATTGACCATGTACATTTGTGTGTGTACATGTGTATGGATTATAGTGACCAGCCACAAATTACAACTGAGCCCAGAAGGTAGAAGTTAACTTCAGAACCCCATTATTGGTTTACTAGTGACTGAGACAGCGTGAATCTACGTTAAACAAAGTAGTGCACAGAAAGACTGGCCCCAAAGTTGTAATTGCATGCTTCTAAAGCTGAATTCAAATTGCGGTAATTCCGGTTTATGAAGGGAAAAACTTCGTTCGAAAAATTGCTACTGCTAATCCAACAGGCCTCGTCATCGTACTCTCTCAATCTTAAGTTGTCTTAAAAGGCGAGCGAAGTAACCACCCCGGGATATCCAAGAGCAACTAGGGCCAGTGGCACTCTGTATGCTACCACAGATGTCCACCTAAACAACCTTCATAACCATCACGCTTCGGAAAGTGAGCTCCTGCGACAGACCGTGTGATATAACCAGCAAGCTTACAGGATACAAGTCCTGTGAGTTCACGACCAGAAGATACTATCAGAACTAATGTCGACCGTGACGACAAAGTGGGCGGAGGTCACAACGACACACGGGACCGCCACGAACACAAACAACGACAATTTAATCAGTTTCATTAAATCAATTCCAACAAATAAACACATGTCCATCAAAATGTTTCCATGACCAGGCTAACCCTGCAGCCAAACGAGGTCACATAAGCAGGTGAAGCAACGGTTAACTAGAGCAGATGGTCCACTGAATCAGGACAGTGTTGCAAACCAAAAGCTTGTGCTTTGTCATTTGAGGAACAGCACGTAGAAAGGTGAGTTCTCAGTATGTTAATTCACCCTCCTTGTCACGCAGGTAAATTAGCAGCAGGCTTCATGAAGGCACTTCGAAAAAAAGGCATTAAGCAATTTCCAAGATGGGATATGAATTAAAATCAATGCAATCCTTGTTCCAGAGGAGGGTTGATTTCTGAACCGATAAAAGAAAAGTCTGCTACGACAGTACTTCCAGTCGCACAGGCCTAAACCGAGCTACATTTCGTGACAGTCACCAGCAGTCTAGAAATCATAATCAGTTGACGCCGTGTGGGCTGAGACACTTAGCTACACCCGACTAGCAGGGGTATGTGATTTCACGTGAAAGGGGCTCATCTTGCCGCGTGTTTTTGGGAAATTCATCATCCCAAAAACACAAACAACACTTTGGGACGCCAGTGTCGAATTCCCTAAGGTGACGCAAAACACTTCACAAGACAAGTTAATCGATAGGTTTTACATAGAATGAGTGTCAGTGAAGGGAGTTGTCTCTAAATGGTTCAGGATCGACAGTTCGTGAAGAGAAAGAAACCACTGAATGAATTGCCTCCGGGTAATAGTTGGAAGATACATCTTCCGATTGCCTAAATGAAGCGATATAGAACTTTGTACGTTGTATCCTTCGGACCGTACGTGGAGTCTTTGCTTTTCATACTTCTCTTATCTTTGTTAGTCACATGGAAGAGTACAAGCATATGCCAGTAAAAGTATAGGAGACATGCCCTGTAGAAAACGGACTATCTATTATATGAGGATCTACAGACCGACAGGGTGTACCTGGACGTAGGATAAAATGTTCTGTATATCCGTTGAAGTCAATGGTAGCTTTGACTGGTCCGCTAAGTATGTTCCAACATCCATCTCTGCAGGCGGTGGGGGAGGTAAACTGCACTCCTTCAAGGCCAGGGCGAAGGGGGATGCAGGCCGAAGGAGAAGCACGAGACGGAGAAGCCAACCGAGACGCGCATAGTGTTGACACTGTAGAGCCTCGTAGACAAGACCACCGGGGCTGCCTAGATAGGCAATCAGGTACAGAGCCAGAGGGCCATAGTGTCTTGTGTGTCGAAGTAAACGTAGTGGATTCTTTGTAGAAGTTGGATCTGTCTCGGTTGTCGAGTGTATGGGGGCCCATGAGTTGGCATTGATATGATTGTAAACCGAATGGCAAATACGAATATATTCGGGGTCATCGGGCTCAAACTGATTGCAAGCCCTATCCAATATGTACAAATATTGGCCTCGGTTGAGCATGTCCTGAGTTTTCAAGAGACAAAACGCAAATTTCAGCAGTCGAATATTACATCAACATCGCTCAAAAATCCAGACTTGCTCACAGTGACATACACTGGTCAGAATAAGAAGTTAGAATAAGTTCAAATAAGAAACTAGGCAAACTATCATGACAACCTCAGTTCCAGAGAAAAATAATGCGTGCTACATAAAAGGTATCACAATGTTGAAGCTATAAAGTAAAAGGTCCTTCAAAGAACAAGCGATTGCGTATAAGCGAGCTGCTTATCCCAATGACACTAAAAAACCTCGAAATTCAAAGAGACGCAGTGGCTTCCACAAGTAAATTTCGAATCGCAACAAAGTTTTGTAATGTTCCTCCAGTCTTGCCTGCACAGTAGTACTTGTGTTAGTTGAATGAACAGCCAATCGATTAAATTAGTCCGTGATGTCACATGATTCAGCGCTTGTACGTCAGATGACGAGTGTCTGACCCTTCAACTAGTTGAAAGCATGAGCTAATACCAGCTAGACGTGGTATGTGGAAAACGGTTCGAAGCAAATAGTCAGGTGAGACATGACTTTCCCTGATTAATTAGGCCAGGCAAAGCAGTTAGCAACGCAAGCTTCAAGAAAACTGGATAAGACGTGTTCATATCGACCCGACATGAACAAGTAATGTGAATTCAAAAGAACACAACAATAGGATTCTCCGTCAATCACACAACCATTGTGCAGGAGGCCATAATTGGTATATATCTTTACCTTCGAAATAGTTCGTTTTTGGGCCGTTTTAGGTTTCTTCACGGCAATAATAACAATAATAGAAACCACGATAACCAAAACGGCCAGCATGTTGACCGATGAACAGGATAACTTTAAAAACAGTCTGATTGATCCTCTGTCCCTCTGCCTCCATTTCTCAAAGGACCCGCTGAAAATGAGTCACCGTTTCAGGTTAAATCACCTAACGAAAGGAGAATATACCTATCTTCGAATACTGCCGGACCCCCGGGACGGGATGAGCTTGTACCGGTGTCGATCAAAGACAGTACTGAGTCACCAGGACGTTTGAATTTATTTCGGAACAGCCCATACCACAGCGCTGAAGCAATCGGCCAACATACCTCTATTGAAAAGGTTACCCAAAGAGACTCTTTCAATAGCATGAGTATAAGCACCGTATAAGTCGTCACAAGGCTACTAGTAGCTCGAAGAATACCACGACTTCAAAATCGCACACCTTAGATGTAAATTCAAAGATACCCATTTGGACTCGGATCTGGTAAAGAATACACCGATCAAATTCTTACATTATGTCAAATGGTTGAGCACTGCCATGCACACCGCTGATCAAAAATCAAATAATACTACGATTGGTACAAAACCCAGGTATTGTCTGCATTTGATATCAGTATATCCGCAACGGTTATCTAACAGATAGTTTTTGTTTCGTTTGCTGTGAGGGGTGATCTATGGGTAACCAAACGGCAGGCTATGGCGTTCCTGAATCCACGATGCGTTCTGTTTTGAAATCTTCCAAATTGGACGACATGTACACACCGTACGGTAAATCGAACCGATTGTGACTCGGAGAGATTATTTTCTTGTAAAAGAAGACCTGATGAAGTGCACCCTGACTATGTTCCTATATGACTACGTGAAATCCTACGCCGCAGTTTAACCAACGGCTTTAGCTATCAATGATATGGTGCATGATCACGGGATGTATTCCATGCCGCCACACTCACAGACGAAAACTGAAGTGTAAAGCCACCGAAGGAATTCGCGAGGACCGGGAAATGTGTGAAAACAGATCACGATAACACAGACGAACAGCTAGTTAATTCATTACTAGAAAGTAGTTTAGAACCGAGTATTCAGAACATATGCATCGATTGAACGAATTAGTCATCGCCTAATGTGAGAAAATGCACGTAGTACATACAGCTGATAGCTAATGACCGGTAGAGCCCTTCTCGGGGATCCCCAGATAAGTGCAACACTCGGACTTCCGTCAACTCTATGTTCCACTTGATACCAAAGTCGTTGTGGTAGCATTTCGAGGCTGTAACGAGATAAGTAGAGTTTCGCTAAAAGCTTTCTCCAAAAAACCTTCACAGTGATGCAGGTCGTTGAGCGTGCAGTGACAACAAATGGATAGCTCTATCACATACAAGTGGAACATGTGGTATTGAGAACACTCAAAGTACACCCGAATCTATGCATACTATCTCGGTTGGGTAGATAGCGAGGCTGTGTATCCTACAAGTTATTTACTAAGTTATTTCATAGTGAATCGCCCCATAGTCTTACACGACGACCGACCGACTCGTAAGTCAAAGGTTTCGTCATCCAACAAAGGAGATGGAGACGTGAAAATCATAAGCACAACTTTCTTCTTCTGTCATAACTACTGTGGGTGGTTCGAGACAGTTTCACCTTTGGAGTGCAGCATATTGACGCACCTGCGTTTGTGATGCGTACAGAGCACACATCTAGGATAAATGATGGTCTGGTCTACACTGAGATTGATTTCCTGAATGACTACGCGGAATGATGTACAGTCAGTAAATATCATAGCAATAGGTGACCAGCACTGCCGTTCTGGGAGGTACCACCACCTAACCTATCGGAGCCTTATGTGGACAAGCATCTGAGTTGAGTTGACCACCAACAGAAAAACCATGATAGCATGAATTAGTGGATAGTTGCTCTACTCACCCTCAGCCCCTCTGCAGCATTCGCGGCAAAAAAAAAAACAGAATAATACGCCACGCTGTCCTCTTCATCTCTTCTTAATGAAACGCGAAGTTCCGAAAAAAGCAAGGTGTCTCATCTCTAGTTAAGGAGCTATTTCGTATTTTGATAGTAGCGTGAAGAGGTTTTATAACTTTCAATTGAGACATCGTGCTACAAGTGATCGTACTTAGAAAGGACATGGCACCACTCGTTCTTCAGTCACATAAACTATATGACATGTACTTCATATTCCAGTGTTCTTGTTCTAACAGGGTTTGGCGCTCTAATCCATTCTTCCTTATTTCTCACGTTACGATTACTTGATTCGTCCACATCCGATATTTAACCAAAGTCGCCTTTTACATGAAGAAACAAACAATTTTGCTTTCCATATCAATTTCCGAGTATAAGCGACTCCGCGATTACTTGATTCGTCCACATCCGATATTCAGCCAAAGTCGCCTTTTACCGGAAGAAACAAACAATTTTGCTTCCCATATCAATTTCCGAGTATAAGTGACTCCATCCGAACGTTTTGCCCCACTGAATGTCAGTTGTGAACATGGTCCCCAGTTCGACTTCTTTGCTGACATTTGCATTCTTGATGTTCATAGTTCTCAATGGCTTGCTTTATTAAATGCCAATAAACAAACTGGTCGCAAGGCTATGTTCTTCTACCATCAGTTGTTCTTCCCAACTTCCGTCTTACCTTCCCTCGTCCTGGACCGTAACAGAGACACAAAAAATCCCCGACTGTGCCAGCACGAACTCCATTCCATTTGTTGCGTCTTGCCCCTCCATCCTTCGGATTCATAAGAGCACAGCCCGATTACGTTACAACCCACTATGTCCCATAAAGCTATTGCGCCTTTTAGTTGCGTAACTAGTAGCACTCTTCCTCCAATTGGAAAGTATGTCCCTTGTCTCCATATTCTTAGGAACGTCACCTCTCGAATGATCTGTTGGCTTTTGCCGGGAAGCCTTTGCCTGTGACACCTGTTCATACCTGATAACTTTGAACCCATTCATCATACTTTCTCCAAATGGTTTGACCAAACCTGTATCCGTGCCTTTGCCGGAAAGAATCCTGTGGAAAGACGTCGGTCCGGTAATTCTTCTTGGTCTAAGCGCTTTCATTTTGTGGTCAGCCGCAACTCCCGCATTACCATCAATAAAGCGAGAGACAATTCCGTCTATCGAAAGGCTGATCCACCATGGAATGGGGCTAGAGCCGTTCCCTCTGAAACTTAGCCGGAGCAATCGCTCATAATGTTCATACTCTGTCCTTCCCCACCATACCTGACGGTCCAGGTTTCCCCCAATTTTCCGCGAAAGAAATTTCATATCTTGAGGAATAACTTTGCTCCAAACGCCAAAATCCTTCCACCCTTCGTTATGCCTAAAAATTTGCATCATTTCGACGTGAAGGGTTTACCAGTCCATATTTCCAAGCTACCAAGCCTTGATTATATTCGTCCTATCATGTATTACTAAGTTGTACCACATATTGTGCCTCATCTTACCATCTATCCTTTATAAGGTATCCTCCCAATACCTAGCACTATGGTAACCTAGATATTATTGATGAAAAATGGGTATAGAGTGGATCCCTTCATTCTACCAAAAATTATGTGAGTACTCCAATAAAATATAGGGGAAAGGAATACCTGCAGATGCTGGCCATAAAACATGAGTGGAACCCGAACCCGCCGACCCGGTAAGAGAAAGTAAATGGAATTGATGCGATCCCGTTCCGAGGCCGAAGCATGCCGTAGGGTACCATCTGGTTCACGGACAACAATCAATCGACGACGAGGAGTTTCGCCAGCACTGATATCTGTGAACACCAGTTTGTAGTTACTGGGTAGCAATCCCTGAAGTTTCTCGTCTTTCGATATCACTGGAGCAACAGTGTCATTCTCATCCCGCGAAGCAAGTACTGGAGGCATCTGAAGACGTTGATTTGTGAAGGCCACGCTGAACTGTTTGACCTGCATATGGAAATTTCTTAATATGATCATCTTTTCTAACTAACCGTTTGCAACTCCTGGTCACTCAATAACCGTATTTCATCCTTCTGAAATTTTTTGACCCAGGGTAGATGAACGACGTTTGCATTATTGTAAGTAATTAACCGGAGGAGAGTGTGCACTTTCGGATCTACGAACAGGTCCTGAAGATCCTTGGTTGTTTTAGAAAAAGATATCCGAGGAGTAAACGCTGGTACAATTTTACATGAAGGGAAGTTGCTTGCTTACCATTAAGGCGTGTTGTGTGAAAAGGAAGCAGAAACCGAAAAGACATAATGCGGTCGATGTCACTCTGAGTAATAACAAATTATGGCCAGGAATCGGAGCAATGGATACATTGATGGATTCCGGCCCTCTGGAACTCTGAAAAAGGAATGCAGCAGTAATATATAATTTTACCAAGCAATAAGATGAAATTCTCGGTTCAGCTCAACTGCGAGTAAATGTCATCACATTGCTTGAGTCCAAGTTAGACCAAATAGTTCAGCTGCGGAAGCATAGCCGCCGTGAAACTTAAGGGAGACATAAGCAATGGAAAATCGGAGCTTGGTTTGAATCATGCGTCAACCGGTGAACAGTTAGCGAATTAGCCCCTGAACTACCTCAAAATCAAATGGAGTTGCCGTATCGTTGCACTTCAACACTGCAAAATCCAATGTTTATCAATAAATGTCTAATGCATCAGCAAAGAGACATGCGGTTTCGGTTTAATTTTCACGAACAGTAGCCGAATTTCGAGCACCAATTTTTTTTACCAATCGCCATTTACCAACAATTCAATCTCAAGTAGTCATATCCATGTGGCTGAGCCGCTGGAACTCAAAGTTTCCCACAATCCAAGCTAGCACTTCCTTGACATTACCGTCGTCCGAAGATATGCATCTAAGGAGACAATTAACTTTATTGATTTTTCTTGCAATCTAAATGTTATGGCTTTGAGATCTATATGTGCGAAATACATTGCTAATAATACAGATGCATTATCTCATTCATCATTTGTTCGAAAGTCTAAAATGAGGACTTCGATACGGACTGGACACAGCGAATTTCAGTGTGTTCTTTAGGAAGAAGACTGATGCATGGGAGGGAGATGTCGTTTCTTATAGGCAGGCAATTAAGACAGGTTTCCTAAGTTATGTTCGATCATCGTCATTCCCGAACTCCGAGTATCCACTTGATATTTCCCGTCATCAACACGAGTAAGGAACGCAAATGGATCACATCGCTACTAGTGTAACCACGGATAATACTGATGAGGCATGCGAGTACTTAACAGGAAAGGGAGATATCAGCGTCAGTCTGTTTACGCTCAGTGAGGCGCGATGATTCAGTGGTTAGAGCGCGAATTTACTGAGCGGAAGTCCGTATTTCGAAACCAACCTCTGCCTCTCGGCTTCCCCTGTCTAGGCTTGGGCAACCTGGAAGTATCTCAGCCCTCGCGCTTCGGGTGGCATGGCAGCTAGGCACCGGAAGGGTGCTACAGCTGAACGTTGAAGGTTGGCTGGAAGGAGTAGGGAAAACGGAGAGCGAGACAAGGAACTGGAAACGTTCTAGAGTCATTTTGATCGGCTGAGCCTGAATGAAGCTGGCACGATTTCCTGGAACGCCACCGATTTGCATGTTGTGCTGTCCGTGATAATTCGCGTCTTGAGACGGAAGCTTATCGCCGAATGCCACGAGATGGCACACACAGGGTGCACCAAGACGTACGACTTACTTTGGCAGAGGACCTACTGGTCCGAGATGAGAAGTGAGGTGATGGATTATGTGGTATCATGTAAGCGGTGCCAACTGATGAAAGGGGACACGACAGGGGCAACCCATCCCATGGAACATATTTTTCTCTCAGAATTCGGCGAGTTGTGGTCCGTTGACGTCATGGGCCACTTTCCGGTGACCACCAGCGGAGTGTTTTAATCAGTTGTTCTCTTCATTCGGAATGCACTCATACGTCAATTCTGATCGTGGTGGAGCTTTCATGTCAGGCGAGGTACAAACGTTTCTTCACGACAGGGGTGTGGCAACCAGTCGAACTACCCCATACAATCCACGCGGTAACGGACAAGTCGAACGGCTTAACGGTACTCTTTGGAAGTCCATCACTCTGGCGTTGAAGACCCAACAACGGGACATTACTGAGTGGGAATGTGTGCTCCTAGATGCTTTGCACTCTGTTCTCTCCTTATTGTGTACCGCTACTAACACAACAACACGCGAAAGATTTTTTAACTTCCACCGGAAGTCAACGTACGGGACCTCTCTTCCGACTTGGTTATCGAATCCAGGCCCCGTTCTGTTAGAAAGGATACCATGTTCCTCCAAATAGGATCCGTTAGTGGAAGCGTTCAGCTGTAGCGCCTTTCCGGTGCCTAGCTGCCATGCCACCCGAAGGAAGCACGAGGGCTGGGATACTGCCAGGTTGCCCAAGCCTAGACAGCCGTTAGTGGAAGAGGTGGAACTTGTTAACTGCAACCCGCAGTACGCGTGCGTTCGTTTCCCGGACGGAAACGAAGAAACTGTTTCTCTTAGACAACTGGCACCCAAAGCACAAAATATATGAGATGTCCATTTAACTGAATCAATCGAAGGTGTAGTGGCTCCTCCAGACGAGACTCAGTCACACTCGCTTGATCCTCCGGGAGGCGAAACGGCACCACCAGAACAACCCAGTGAAGTTCCAGAGAATGTCCTACAGCACATCACAGATCAACAACGTGTTTGGCCATATAATCTTCGAAACCGCGAAGCCTAATCTACATCCTCCTGATAATAATCCCTCCGGCGAGGAAGTATGTTATATACTGACATTGTGCTTAACTTTTTACTCGCTATTCGTTAAACTTATTGCGTTTCCTAATGTTTTAGTTGATGTACTGATATTGTTAGAAGATTAAAGCCAATCATTCGGCAATCCTCGTTCTCTATTTCAGGCACAATCATTCGAGTGCGCAACACTGCACAGTTCGATATGCGTTCGACACCTGTAGATTTTACAGTACTGCTTCAAGATTGGGGATCAAACCTAAACCTCATTGTTGCTGGTGAATCGATCGACGTAGTAAATAAGTTCGTTTATCTGGGCAACTTACTCCCAGCATTCTGGCGAAAGACGAAGCCAATTCCCTAACTATGTAGGCAAGGACAGTATTTAGTAACCTCCGGTCTCTGAAAACCGTTTCCGTCACGAAGAGACTGGACCTTACCGTGGTGTCACGGTTTGCGCACCTCAGCGATCCATTGAGCTATACTGGAGAGTGTCCCGCGACACTCACAGAGTCTCTCATACCAGGTTGGTCAATGGTTAGAGGTCTGACGAACACAGTCTCCTGGCCATCCAGGTTGGGGGTTGGAACATGTGGCGACTTGTTCCGTAGAAATGCTAATGCATTT